ACATAATGAATATGTTTTTTCTTCCTTCATAGCAATTTACAATATCTCTTCTCTCCTCCTCAGGTTGTCAGCGAGTCCACACAGCACCAGCAAGACATCATGTAAACCAGAAGAAGCAACCTCAGAAACACTATATATAATAAGTTAACAAAAAAATACTACACAAATCTACATTTTCCTACCACTACTATGACAATTTATAAGCTGAGCCTATTTTTAGAAACAGTTTTTTAGCAGATTTGAAAGGAAACACAAAATCATATGAATTAATGCAGCTACTATGCATCTTTAGACAATGTACTTTATACGTCATAAACAGGATAGATGCAATATGGAGGCACAAAGCACTGCCTTTAATCTGGTTTTAAATAAAGGTCATTCCAGGAATTGTGCTTTATTTGTGTTACTTTCCTTCTTTCGAAAACACCAGGATTTGTCATATCTCTCATATCTTATCAGAAATAATTCAATGGAAAGAGTTTTAAATGAACAACAAGGCTTTGTGTCATTGTATTGGCCCAGTATCCAGAGGGGAGTTTGCAAAGTGCAAGACAGATGAATGGGCCTGAAACACCAAGGTCACAAGTAATATTGTAACAGTAATTTTCACTGCACATATTCCAAGTCTGTGCAAATGTACAAGTAAATGACTTGATTAAGAAGGGACTTTGTTTGCGTAACTGATTTACGAAAAGTGAGATGTTGGTCTTGTGGGTTTGAGGAATGTCAACACAAAAAAAGGAACTCAGTCATGCTCGGAGTTTGAGCATATGCTGGGTGTTTGACTGTATGGGTGATCATGTTTTGCTGCTTCATTGTGCCAAGAATCTCAAATAAAGACATTCGTTATCACCACTGAGAGTCAGACAGTTTCTTAAGGCATGGTAACAAAAGAAAAATCTTAATTTTTTTGTGTCTGTGCATAGCATGTGTAATGTGTAAGACTCCAGTCATAGCATTCCTCAGATAGCATGCATGTCTTTTCATTGGTTCCTTTATGAACTGTTTCTACCCATTGCATTCCTCGTCTGATGTGGGCTGCGTTAGCTTTCCTCAAATGATATTACCAACCAAGCGTAGCTGTCTTCTGTTAACATTTAATTCGCTTTTATAAAGAAAATAGGAGTTGCGGCCCCCTCTGGAATTATCAGTAACAGGACGGGTCTTGGTGCAGGGAAAAGTGAACAATTGCTTGGTAATGAGCTGGCTTCAGTCATGCTTTGTTTCCGGCAGAGAGCAGATTAACACAGAAACAAGAATTATATAGTCTGCAGTTTGTGTCTGAAGTCACTGGACTGAAAAATGTCAGCAGAGATAAAAAGTGGGGGGGAGGAGGAAAGAGAAAAGAAAGATACAGTGAAAGCAGACAATAAATGAGAATGCAAGAAGGAGAGCGAGACTGTGAGGGTGGCACAGGGAGAAAACGAGAAAGAGAGGGTACAAATGTAATGAGAGGAAGATTCAGCAAGAGATAATTAGGCAGAATAAAGGAAGAAGCACAGAGAGAAAGTAAGTGAGAGGAAGTCATTTCACTGCTTTTCCTAGCAGACCAATGTTGGTAGGAACTTTCTGTCTCCATCATCGTTTCTGTCAACAACAGCTTCCCAGTCATTACAGCTCGATAAAAAAGGGCAGCATGTTCCTGTGTTTCATTTCCTTCAAATGAAGTCTGCTTAACTTTGTGACCTTTCATCTATCAGCTGCTAAAAGCACTGAATTTTAATTATTATATGTGGCTCCCTTTTTGTGCTGCTTAAAGTTATTTATATATTTATATAATTTATTTTTTCTACAAAGCAATTTGTAGAAAACACCTATTTTATCCAGATTGGATTTGACACATACAAGTTAATGCAATGCAAATGCAGCCTTGTACCTACTGTCAGACCACATCAAGGAATTTGTTAAATATTAGTCAAAGAGAAACATCATGAAGATAAATTCAAACAGCCAACAGATGCTTTGTTTTTCTGTGTGGTATGATACTTTCTTTATCACTGCTGAGACCTGCAGAGCAGTAAAAAGTATCGCATGAATAAGTCAAAACCATAACATTACATCGGAACTAGTTTTATATTACTTCATCGTTCATAGTTTTATATTCTTATATATAAGGCAGTTTACGTGGCTTCATAGTCTCTGATTTAACCGTAGTATCAAAGTGGTTTTAGTATCACTGGCCACTCCAAAAACAACTAAATTGGTTCTCTGAACTGTGACTGTCATCTAAAATGTGTGCGTGTTAGTATGCGTGTGCTTAGTATTTAGTATTTGTACACATAAATGCACCTCTGAATACACAAATGACAGAAACAGTAGAGACAACAAGACCATTAGATTGTAGACTCACAATGTTTATCGTATTTAGGTCCATATAAATTCATGCTCAATAATAATAATAATAATAATAATAATAATGACCAGGCGATTTGCACAAATTTAAACAGGGTGGCAAATGAACTGCTGTCTCTCGAGGAGAAATTATTGAATTACTGATGTCAAGGCTGAGCTTGTTTGCTGATTTTCAACATCACATGTTGAAACACCAGGATCAGAATGAGACATCCACCACCCAGCCAAAGCAAACCAACTGGATATACAATGGAAACACAATATAAAACAGGTCTACTCCATTAGAAAATAATCAGCTGGATAAATTACACAAGCGATCGCGGTGTAAACCTGAAAATGAAAACAAAACATTTGTACGTTTAAAAATTATTTACAGTTCAATATCTACAATTCAGCAGTAATGGGCAATGACAGAAATAATAGAAACTGAAATAAAAAAGCTAATAAAAATAATTGACAATTAAATAACAATAATTCAGTTTGCCCCAGAGTTACATGTCATAGTTTCACTTTGTTATTTTTTGTCTTTCCTAAATGTAAAGACAATGATTACGTTACAAGCGGACTAAAGTAAAACCACAAAAGATAACAGGACTGAAGTGTAAGCAAAACCCGAAATAACACTTGAACAGCCACTACTGCAAAACATTGCTGGAGTAACACTGGTGCAGCAGAACAGAAGGTGACTTAGCATGAAGCATGTCAAGAGGAGGGAAATTATTGAAATGTCTTCTCAAAGCCCTTTACCTGGACAGTGTAAACAGAGAAAGGAGAGGAGAGGAAGAGGAGTGAAATCCAGTAAGGGAGGTCACTGGAAATGAGATTAAGATGTTCCTTTTCTGCATACTGTTGATACTGAAACACATCACGCTTAAGATTGATGTCCTTCCACAATTTCTGCTTCCTTCAGTTAATGTGGGCTGTGTTTTGTGCACCCTGGGACCAACAAACAAAACTGGAAATCTGCAGTTTTCACTTGACAACAGTGACACAATGAAACACTAACACACTGGAAACAGTTACACAAGGATTCTCATGCAGTAATGGGTTAAGGTGAAAAGGATTGGTACTCCAGTGCCAAACCCAGCACATCTCATCAGGTATTTTATTTATTTAAGTTCAGTACAATGGAATCTTTTTGTTTATCTAAACCTCATAAAGTAAAAATCCCCAAAAGGTTACATAAAACACAATATTCTTAATAGTCTCAGCAGGAACTGTAATATTGGTAGTGTTGGTGATTCTTGTGGGGAACTAGAGCATCTCAATTCCAAAGAGGTTCAAATAGAACAAAAATAGTTCCTTTGTACTGAAAATACTTTCTACACAAATCTAACTCCTTCACTTCTCTGGATGTTCAGTACAACAACATCAATAATCAGAGCACATTTGAATTTTAAAAGCAAATAACACGCAAATGCATGTACTCACAAACATATGCACACATAAACAGTAAGTCTAGAAAAAAAGGTCCAGTAGTAAACATTAGAGGGCGCCATTTGCAAATTCATCCTTCCACTATATCTCATCATTTACAGGAGATTATCATCATTTTTAACCTCCTTTTCATCATTTAACACTCTACGACTAAAATATTCACATTTTTAACCAGACCAGTATATTGGCAAAAAAAGAGGGAAAAAATACACATACACCACACTGAATCCCCCTCTCCTTGGCCAATATTTGGTACAATCCGTCATTTGCCACTGGGCTCATGTGTCCACTCTCACACACAATCACACTATAATTAACATTTCACTGTCATGTATTGTCCCCTCCAAACTCTGAAACAGATTTCATCAGACAAATTCCTGGATAGCCGATATCAGACAGTTTCATGTCTTTGTGCCTTAGCAGCGTATTTAGACAGCTGACAAATTCTGAAAAGGTAGATTGTTTTTAGGGTAAGAAGAGGAAAGGTGACATGAGAACCAACAGAATTACATAGACTAGTTTAAAAATGTTTTAAATTCAGTAGAAAGAGGAAAGAGGAGGGGAGGTATGGATGTGTCTCCTGCTGGCGAAACTGTTGGCGATCGAGGGCAAAAGGAAAGTGATGAGATGCAACGCATATTCCTCTTGACAGCTGTGTAGGCAATGACACATGGAGTGTTCATAGGTGGAAATGACATAAAAATTGTCTTCGGCATTACACACCTAAAAGCAGTCCCTATTCTGCAGCAGAAGAATTGTGCTGCCAGACTGGATTCATAGGCTGTCAGTGAAGATAACATTTTGACTTCATGAACACCTCGCTTCACACACTGACCTTTCAAAGGAGAAAGTAATGAAGAAGAGCTGCCTTCTGTTTCAGAGTTACTTGCGTTTTGTTATTTTCTTACTGGAATCAAGCACATTGTTTCCTCCTGTAACTGCGCTCAATGTACAGATACTGTCGAAGGTTTATTGAAGGTAGTGCTACCTTGACTCCATGATGATGCATTTTTATTAGAAGTGGTGCAGCCCTCCTGTGGAAAAAATAATGTTTTGATTGTTTCCCCACTGCAGTTCCACTGGAAATGACTTCTTATGGCTTGAAGCAGCCAAAAAAATATTTAAATGAATTTCAACCGTGATATTAAAATGTACTCCCCACCAGACAGGTTCCAGTGTGCTCCAGACCAGTAACAGAGAAGGTGATGACATCTGAGATTTGACCACATCCTGTTCCATCCAAAAGAAGAGGCTCTGCTCTTGTGTCTTGACATTCATAAAGAACAGAAAAGGACCAAACTGGCCAAATAAATACAAGCTCTAATAGGTCTGAGAGGACAAAAACAGTGTGAGACCACCTTTGGGACATACTGAGTTCCTGTTGGGTTAATAGGCAGTTGATCAGGTTGGCACGGTAAGGTTAAGTTTTCTATCCCTAACTGTGACAAAGAGGTTTGAAGTAGCCATGTGTGATTGTGTGTGTGGTTGGATGTGTGTGTGTGTGAATTCTGCTGTCTCAGATGCGAACAGGGGGTCCGCTGGGGGCCGTGAGGGGCACTTGAGAGCCGCAGTCGTAGTCAAGTTCCCCCATCCGGGAGCGGCTCATCATTCGACTGTGGGAGTACGCTCGTCTGTCTGTTTGTCTGTCCCTGAAGCTCCTGATGTAGCTCTGCGGACAGACAGATGATACAGGGTTGGGGGTAGTACGAGCATAATGTGATAGATATAACGTAATGACAGTAAACCGCATAATGACAGTAAACAGTCATGAAAGCTTACACTCATGTACAGCTATTATTATTTGCTTTTCTGCCAAGAGTTAGATAAGAACATCAATAACATTGTCATAGCTATCTGTTGAAACTGGAGCCAGTAGACTGTTAGATTGGCTTAGACTGGAAAAAGAGGGGAACGGCTAGTCTGCCAGAGGTAACACAATCCGCCTACCAACAACCCTAAAGCTCCCTAAGTAACATGTCATGTCTTGTTTGTTTAATGTGTGTGCAAAAAAAGTGTCAAAAATTAAAATTTGTGGTTTTGCCAGGCTTTATTTGTGGGATAATTTCTTGGCTGGGAGCAGTGACTATTTGAAGTCTCCACTGGTTGCCGGGCAACCTGACTAAGGCAACAAGTCTTTAGGAAGTCACTGCTGCTGGCCAAGAAATCGTCCCACACATAATCCCTGGTAAAATCCCCGTCTGTACCTTCGTAGAGGGCCGGGGTAGCTGTTTCCAATCTTCATGCTAAGCTAAGCTGCTGGCTCCAATTTTCTATTAAACATACTGACATAAGAGTAGTATCAATATTCTCGTCTAATAAAAGAAATATGCTTATTTCCCAAAATGTGAAACTTAAAGTTGTAATATGAAACAGAATAAAAATAGAATTATGACTAAAGAAAAGAGAAAGAGAAACTCTGGTGGCTGTATATGCACCAAATATATGAGAGAGCTTCTTATTATCATATTCTTATTCTTATTATTACCTAAAGTATTTAAGTATTTAAGCCGGTACTTTATCTTACCGGTGAAAGCACATCTCCATCAAAGCGTCTTTTAGGGTTGGCCTTGCGGTGGTAGCCGGGTTCAGTCTGAGGAGGAGGGACTTTAGGTGGCTGAGAGCTCTGGGCTTGGTGATGAGGGTGGGATGCCGCTGGGTGATGGTACTGCTGGTGGTGGTGGTGATGGGTGTGAGCTTTCTGCTTGTGAGTGGTCTTCTGGGTTTGTCTTTTTTTCTTCTTCTTGTTCTCCTTCTCCTTTTTCAGCCTCTCTTCCCGCTGCCGGATGCGCATGAGCTGGACCCTCCGTTGCTGTCGACTCAAAACCACTGGGGACAAAGACACCAGAGATGTGATAATGTGTGTAAAGAAGGAAACCGAGAGCGGGAGCAATAGATAATCATGAGAGAGTCGGAGGATTATGAAGACAGAACAATGCAGCTTTTATAGAGAAACAAATGTAACTGATTAAGTCAAGAGGAAAAGACACGTTCAAAATCTCTCAGACTGACAAGGAAAACAAGAGAAACCCTCAATCAGATGGGACTTTATTTGAATATATATTGAATATTTTAATTTTAAACACTGATGGTAAACTATCTCTAGGGAGGTTATTGTACGTACCGGTTACAAAAGAAAAAAGGAATAGAAAACCACTGATGTCCATTTTCTCATTTCCTTCATTCTATTCAGTGAGTTGGCAGACAGATAATTTCCCTTGCAGCATGTATTCATACTGAGCTTCTCAGTCTCCTGACATATTGTGAGTGGGTGAGCGTGTTTGTGTTATTTCTACACCCTTCTCCGGCAAAGGATGCCCAAAATCCATCCTGTCTCACTGTCCATTGACTACTCATATAATTATTTTTGGGTATGCCTGCTTGTGAAGCATTTTGATTCATCTAATATAGAGTAGTGGAAGGGGATCTGTTTCATGTTGATTATTGTCAGGTCAAAATTTTGCCACAAGCACAAGGACCCTGCCGAACCTTGCGAAGATAAGATGTACTATTTGCGTCACAGTCACTGTGTGTTTGTGCGCGTGGGTATGGAAGTGTTATGAGGTCTATTGTTGTTTCTTTGTGCGGGTGGACAGCTAACGAGGCACCATCTGCCAAGGAAACTGCTTAATGATACCCCCCGTTTTTTATTCCTCAGCTCACCCCACCTCAGGCCCCTCTGGTTGCATGTGTGTATGTGTGTTCTTCTACCTTTGTGAGGACCACTATTGGCTTCAGACCTTGGGAGTGAGGACTTTTTGGGCAGTCCCCACTTCATAACAAGGTAGTTATAGAGTTTAGGGTTGGGGTTAAGAATTTGACTGGGGCTTGAGAATTAATTATGTCAACAAACAGGAAAAACATGTGTGAGCAAATTCATTCATGGCTGTGTCCTGCAAGCTATTCAATCAGTTGACAGACAGATGACTTTCCTCACTGCTCCACTTGGGTGCCCCTCATACGCATTGTGCCCCCAGTTTATCACCCCTCCCTGCTCTTCCCTTCCCCCAGTACACCTGCCCCCTCTTTTCTCCTCCTTTCTCTGTCAATACAGTGCCTGTCACTATAAAGGATGCTTTCAGCAATTAAAGACTACAGGCAAACTCTGACAGCTGCAAATAGGGTTTTTAAATTACATTATGATAACTTCTGTATAGGTAAATTTAAAGCGGTTTCTATACATTAATGACCCTTGCTGACGTGGCTGTTATCACAAAGCAGCAAAAACTCAAATAAAATTCATAGCTATCTTGCTAGAGCTGCTGCCCTAATTCATATTCCCAATACACAGGCTGTATCTACAGCAACAAGCATGAAATGAACACACATGCAGTACATACAGAAATGCAATCGTATTTTTTAGAACTATATTTTTTACTTAAGTGTTATTATTATTATTATAGTTTCTTTTTATCCCTCTTTCTGTGGGGGGCCCTGAAACAATTCTCATTACTATTGTTTTTTGTTCATTGTGAGGAGGTGAATTGTGAACAGGTGTTGTAAGGGATGTTGTACAAATGTTCACACGTTTGTCCGAGATCTTTTATAGAATTCACTTGTCTGTGTGTGATGGTGGTCAATACACATTGGACCAGTTTTTCAACTTGTAGCCCCTGATGAGGAATAAAGGCTTTTTAGCAACTTTTTGTACTTCAACAAAGCAGTATGTCATGAATTTCTGGAGAATTGATTCCCTCTCTTTTAGACAGTTCACAGCCAGCCTGTGCTTCCTTAATGTCTCTATCTCTTTCTAGGTCTCTTTCCCCCCACACGCAATTGCACAGTTTTCAAAATAGCACTAAAAAGCTCCCTCTATCTCTTTGCCCACACCCTCTGACTGGAAACCATGGCAGCTGGCTGTTTAATCCCATTATTTGACGCCATGTGTGACTTCTTCTAAGACACTACTCTGCATGCCATACACCAACAAAGATCAAATGTAAGAGTTTATGTGTGTGCACCAATGAATGAGTTGTGTGTGTTTCAATTTTCCTGTAGTTAGTGTATGAGTGAGTGAGAGACTATACCCCAGTATATTTCTGTCTCTGTTGGTCTGTGTGTGTCTATGTGTGTGTGTGTGATCTTGCCATCTGTGTTGTGGTTGCTTTCAGAAAGGCTGTTTCCGTCAATAGCGCATTCTGCTGACAACACTGATGTTAGTGTACTCATACTCTCCCTCATGCACACACATTCACTGTTCCTTCATAATGGTTACAATTCCTAAAGCCTATTTAATAAAATTAGGATAGATTAGTCAGCCTTGATAAAATGGCACCAGCTTTTAGTGGCCTTTGTGAGATCAATATTGAAACAAGCCTCATCATCATTCTGTGTATCTGAGAATAAATTTTAAATTACATTAGGAAAACAAAACCAAAAAATGCATATTCATTTCACAAAACGTCATTAAACATCCCATGCACAAACTTCAACACACACACAGTTCCTACAGCATGAACATAATATGTGTAAAAGTTCATCCTTCTCACTGAACTAAACCACCATTTGAGGCTGCAAAACAGACCTTTTACAAGAGGTCTGCACCAGCCTTGCCTGAAGCTTGTGGCTGTGGCCTACATTAGATCGGACACGGAGAGGTGAGCACCGCCTCTCTTGAATCAGCCGTTTCTGAACATATCCATCGTGTATTCACAAGTTCCAGGTCGGAGCAGAAGCTGTGTCTGACTGTAGCTTTATTTCAGCAGTGAACTAAATTTTGATAAATGGAATTTATTCTTTATTCATAAGATGTGGGTTTGTGCATTTTCGTGAATTTGTTAGTGTTGTTATTAAAATCCTCCAACAAGGAAAAGATCAAAGGATACACCCTCTGTCCTTTAGCCTCAGACATTCTCACACCAGCCTGGACCCTGAATTTATATGGAATTTTCCCAAACCCGCCATTCACATTGTCTAGAAAATGTCCCTGGTGTGTCCTCAGCTTCCCATATCACATGACGTCCACACCCACCTGCAAACCTCCCAATTCCCTCATCAGCTCCTCAGTAGACCTAGCCATTGTTCCCTGCTAGATTGCCTTTATATTTGTGCCTGTATCCTGTCTCTGCCAGTTTCTGTAAATCTGCCCATGATCAGCTGCCTGCGTATTTGTTTGCTCATTTGGACTGACTTCAAATTGGTGAGTAAGCCTGTTGTTTTTTGTTTTTTTTACAGGAAGTTTGTTTATTCAACCTGCTCTGCCTACAAGGGTCTGTAGTCCTTTTGCCAACAATTTGTTTTTACACAATATGTGATCCAAGTATCAGTAAAATTTTAAAATAGAAAAAAACCCTTAAAAGTTAATTTTTTCTACCTGTATTACACACCATTTCTTAGTAAAAAAGTTATTTGGATCAAATCTAGTAGGCCTATCTCTTGCTGCAAAATCCACAAATATGGCAAAACATTTAATGATTTTTGTGTCCCAAGTTAGCGTGTGCAAAGCTGCATCACTCACCCTCTGTGTGAGAAAATCCCTCTGCAGTGACTTTCCATTGGATCAGCACTCCGAGGAGGGCCAGGACTGGCCACACCCCCAAGATAACCCAAGTAAACCAGCACACTGGCTTCTTTGGTGCCACCTGCAAAGATTACATAATTTTAGTTGAATCATTTCATTTTGATAAAGTGCTTTTGTCCACAAAAGCATTAATTTATGCAAATATAACTAATCTCAATCATGACACTTTTGCCAGTTTTTCAAAAACCTCTTTCCTGGAGTTATTCTTGCACAAACAAGCACAGCACATAATGAAATACTAATAAGAATGTTAAAAATATAATACTTTGGTTGTAAAGTGAGAATCGTGAGGATGAAACCATTATAAATGGGTCATAAACCACAGTTGCTCCAGCAGGGCTTCCCAGTGTGTACATGCAGAAATCTGGTTTAGTCAAACAAAACTTGGCAAACAATTGATAATGGTTGATAATTATATTAACTTCAGGGCCTAGTGACAAATTGAAAGAAAGACCATAATAAATGACTTAATAATTGTGTGATGAGTATGAAAATGATGCAGATCATGTGCTATGGCCACTGAGATTGCCGTGCACTCTCCACCAGCATTATCAAAACATCAAATGAGGGAATACATTTTGGAAGAATGATGTTCATCCCTGAATCTGATGGCCAGTGAAGCACAGTAACCTGTCAGTGAAATCACATGCTGAAGTGATTGATTAAAGTCATAAAAATTTAGTTAATATACTTTTATTTGCAGCCCAAATTCAGACAATATGATGACACCAGTGATATTTTCCAATACAGTTTCTACAAAGGTAGCTAACCTTTCAATATATCTGGTTCTATTAAGCATTTAAAGGCAATTTTGCAGTGTGCAAGACTGTTTTATGGAAATACTGGATTTATGGGATGTTTGCATTGATATGATGATGAACCTTATCTTGTCAGCTATTTCTTCATTGAATTTGCTCATAAACCGATATTGCCATCCGGAATTTCATCTACAAATTAATTTACATTTTAGCTTACAGTTTACATATACTCTAATGGAAGATTTTATCTGTACTGTCCACCCTCAACTGTGTCTGTTCTTCCCTCATCCACACACATATCCAATGCACACCTCCCTGTTCTCGGATAAACACCCAAATCAACTATTGACCCACTCTTTCACCTGCAGGCACACCCCAAGCTTCTGGCAATGTTTAATAGACAGCGCAGCAAGGTGAAGTGTCTAAAATTGTGGTGTTAAGTGCTCTATCAAGTGGTTAAAGTCAGTCTGTCCAACTGTGTGTCTCTCTCTCACTCTCTCTCTTTCTCAAGGAAACACACGCATGAAATGTGCTGAGCAAGGTGAACAGCCCAATAAAGTAATCCAGTGTCATGATGTACACACCTTCAAATACATTTATAGCATTAGGATAATAACAAACACACAGACGAGCCTACCCTGAGTCTCTCATAGACGTAGTGCACCAAGGCGAACAGCTCTATAAAGTAATCCACGGTGACGGTGATGATGGCAGAGCCGAATGTGGCGGTGGACAAGGTGACAAAGCAGCGTTGCCATTGAAGAGTGAGGACGGCAAATAACGTCCCAGAGCCCAGGAGAATACCCAGAGGAACCCACACTGTTTTGGGGTGGTAGAACTCTTCCATAACCTTCGAAAAAGAGAGAGGAGAGGGTTAATTTTAGACAGTTGGTATTATTTATGGTAGTTTTGTTGTTGTTGTTGGTCGCTGGTCTCATTGACATTTATGACAGCAAAAATGTATATGAGTCCTGCCTTGTTGTGTGGTCAGGTATGTTATTACTTTAGAGTGCTACTGTGCTGATTTTTAGTTGGTAACTATTTTGCTAGCTAAATAGAAAGCTAGATAGCTTTTTTATATTTTTTTAAATATTTTTTGTCTTTATTGGATAGGACAGCTGAAGAGAGACAGGAAGTGGGGAGAGAGAGGGGATGACACGCAGCAAAGGGCCACACCTCGGATTCAAGCCCATGGCTGCTGCAGCAATGACTCAGCCTTGGTACATGGGGAGCTAGCTTGCTTTTGGTACTGCTTATGCACTAATCTGGCAGCAGATTTAAATGCAGTCTTCTTTCAAGACTTTGGTGACATGGGATAGTCTTTTTAACAGCATTTCAATGGGGCTTCTGCCGGATCTCCTGGACATTTTCCTGTGTAAAAGCTGTGCAAAAGCGGTTAAATTGTAAAATCCTGAAAGTTAATTACAGTGTTATTGCGCAGATTTATAAGTGAAATGATGCCTCAGTGACAATGTCTTGTTGACATCCATCTACAGCCTACACTAGTCTACCACAATCACACATGCCACTTTCTGGTGTGACAGGCCACAAGAAGGCTTTCCTGATAATACAATGCTTTTGAGAATTTGAAGTTCTGTATGCAAATAAACATAAATCTAAATAGAGCAAAACAAATGCATCTCCTTACCACCAGTGAAGCCACTCCAACCAGCAGGCCGAGCAGCAGGCCCACCATAAAAAGTCCCACACTGCGAACCAACATGGTCACCAGGCCACACAGGGTCCCGATGCCCAGACCGATGCCCACTGATGCCTCTACGCTCAGCTGAGTGTCCATCACCCTCTCCTTGTAGCACAGCATGAAGATGACCACAGAGCCAAACATTAGGCCTGTGAGGAACAATACGGCCTTGAAGCATCGATAGCCTGGAGGAGAGATGGGAGACAGACCACTGTGAGGCTATTACAAGCATAAAAACATGTGTACGAGATACAAGCCTACGGCAGCCAGGAACCCCTGTGAAATCCAGATATAATTCATTACACGGACAACACAGAACGACAAACAACAAGACAGCGAGTGCATACAAGACATTTGTTGAAGAGAGGAATGGCACACACACACACAGACATTCAACCCCAGAGGGACTTTCTGTTTTGACTTTTGGCAATAAATAATACACATACAGACACTCACAAACAAACAGGTATATAACTTGGCTTCTAGTCATTTTTACTCGTATAGCTGTTACTGTTGCTATTGTTGTGGCTGTGTATCTTTGTCTTTGTCTTCCTCTCTTTACCCCAACCCTCATCCCTTCCCCCCTCCACTCCCCTCTCTCCCTCTCTCTCTCTCTCTCCCTCTCTAACCCCAACCGGTAAAGGGAGACGGCTGCCCACCAGAGCTGCGGTCTGCTCGAGGTCTACACAGAGATGATAACATATTATGGGGAGGAATGCTTAATGAACAGCAAAACAATGAACAGCCACCTTGCTGTGGTCGGTAAGGGAGCAGTATGTCCACACAGAGACAGACATTTCCTCATTGGAAGATGATGGTGAGAGTGGATAAACTGTCTTTATAAACATTTATGAAACTGCTTTAAAATATGATAATTATTGTTTTACAAAAGGTCATCCACATTCATTAGTCAACAGGCCTGCTGAATACAACAACTGTTATCTCCTACTTTTTTTTCTTTGCCCTGGTCCCTCCTGTCTTTGGTTTTCTCTCTTTCCCTCCCTCACCAGTTTATTTTCCATTTTAATGCCCTTTATTGCAACAAAAACAAGAAATAAAAAAAAAAACACAGCATTAAAAGATCTCCTTGGCCGTGGCTTCTGTGTTTATTAATGTTTGCGTCTCCCTCCCTTTTTGCTCTACATCTCCTCCTTTCTCTGTCTGACTGGACTCTGTCTCGAAGGGAAACCAACATCAGATTGTTATCTTTGTGTAATCGGGCATTGCACAGCTGAGCCGAACAATACTGTTCCTCTCATTAAACCCACGGTCCACGCTCTTCCCTCGTTACTATACCTCATTTATGTGAATTTTCTTCAATATCTTTCAGCCACCAGGCACTTCATAAAATGTGTGGTGAAAGCCACTGTATTTTTCACAGCTTCTTCCTGCCTGAATGAAGTCTGACATGGAGTAACTGGAGCATTTCCAAAGCTTCTACAGCTACCGGAACATTTGTTTGGTCAGCAGCTGTCACAAATTCCCAACATTGTTCTTCCATATCAGTCTCCATCAATCAATCAATACATTCTGAAATATCATGCCTCTCCTTGACTGCTCTAATCTTCTAGTCTACTTTCCTTGTCCCCTTTTCTCTAAACCTATCCTTTCCTCAGTCCCTTATCCCCCACCCCCCCAATTATTCACTCTTTGCTTACCCCTCCTACTCCCTCTTTTGTTCCTCATTGCTTCCCTTACTTTTCCTCCAGCCATCAAACCCTCCATCCCATCTGTTCACTCTGGCTTATTCAGCTCTCATCTCCCTTCCTTTCAGTCTCCTTTCCTTTGCCTCATCCATCTTGTTCCTATAACATCACTCATCATTTCTGCTGCAACTTCATTGTTTTGCTGGGTCAAATAAATGACAGCTAACCTTTTCTTCTCAAGTCCTTGGGACTAAACCACATTGGCATCTATCAGCAGGGAGAATCAATTTTCTCACAGAAATTTCTTTTTTCCTCAAATAATGCAAACGTGACTGTAGGGTTTTCTGAGAAACATCAACAGTAGGCTGTGCGTTATGTCTCATTTGCAGTGATTTTGTTCAGTTATAGAGAAAGATTGGGCATTGATCTTTTCTTTTTGCTGTTAAATAAACAGAGAGACAAATAGATAACAGATGGTGAAGGATGAGAAGCTTTTGAAGTAAAAGTATGTCCTTGGGTTTTTGCTGTTAAGGTTTTGGAAGCATGTATTAAACAATATTTTTTAATCAGTGTGATTTTATGTTGAAATTGAAATTTTTGGCAAATACAGACTTTCAGAGCTGATGCTAATTGAGCAGATACAGAAAACATTAAAGGACTAGTGTGTAAGATTTAGGGTGGGGTTTCTTTTTTTAATCTAATTACCAGGGACATTGCACATTAATCAACATTGCAGTTTACACTTCAATGTAAATGTGCCAGTTAGCTAATAAGCTGGTAGCTGCCCTTGTTCCCCTATCGCTGCTATCCTTATTGCTTTATGAACTGACTCAGTGGGGGAGGGACAAGCCCATGTAAGACCCTATAGATTAGGCACACATGCAAAATTTTTAGAACTATAAATAAACTAAATAAGTTGTACTTTTGTATTATATGACAATGGTAATAACAATTGACCCTTTCTTGACTCCGCCATGTTGAACTACCATGTTATATGGTAGTGCAGAACAGACAAATCTAACACTGACTCTAGAGAGGGGAAGGGGTATTCAGTTGGTTGCAATGTGCACACTCATGGCTAGATGCCATTAAATCCTACACATAGGTCCTTTAACATGCTAGTGTGCTAACATTTAGCTGTCTAAATGCAATGATTGTAATGTGCATGCTACCAGTATAGTCAAAGTACAGCAGAAGCTGATAAGGTGCATAAAGTGGAATACAAGGTGGTCTTTTGTCTGGCACTGCCCTAAGGGCAAACTTGACATTTTCTGCCATACTTGTGGTGGGGATGCTCTTTACATTTGTTATCCACCCAGCGATCTTGTTTCAGGGCTACTGCTACTATGGTATTGTTCGTGTGCTGCCAACTTTGTAAAATAAAGTTGCTGGGTAACCTGATTGTAATGCAATGCACTGACGCTGCTGATGCTTTACGAGGACATATAGAGTGAATGTTAATGCCGTCTGTATGCTTGAGTGAATCTCTCTCTGTCTATTTGTATGCAACATATCTGCTCAGAGCTACATGCATCAATATTCATCCAAAAACACCACGGTTGCTTTCTCAAAATTGTTATTTCATACATTTTCTACACAATACAATTCTGTTTTTATTACATGAAACATTACCTTGTAAATTTTCCTGGATGTTTTTGTCTGGCTGTATTTTCTTGTTTGTGTTACTGGCAGAATAGATATTAACTAAGTTATCTGAGTTGTGAAGGATGTGATTTCATGGGATATATTTTAGTTTACGTGACAGATCATATACATGAGCAGTGGCTAAGTAATCTAACAAATGATATATGATCACAAGACAATACATACAAGTTGAAAATTCAGTGCTTTGTTTTCATAACAGCGGACAGTGTATGTTGTATTGACATGCACATATTTCTACCTTTTTTGTGTGATAAATTATGACTCGCATGGCTCTAATCTGTACATTATGTTATTTTCTTGTTTGAAAATCAATATGTCAAAAAATTATTATTAAATTAACTCTAATAGTATTTGTAACACGTCCCGTGGTTAAAAAGGTTACTGATGCGTACCATATCACTGGAAAAAAGTTCAAGTCTCTCTTTACTGCCTACTGTCTGGTAAAGGCAAAAAGAAAAAAAATGCCTCTGATCTTGTGTGCCCAGATTTCTACAATCAAACAATTATGCAAAAAAAACCCCAATTAATTCACACGGCTACAGCAAAGTGAAAATCTCTGCCACTTGCTACTAGAAAAGGCCTGCAAGTAAATAATTACACGATTACACTGTAAGCCAACCCAAGGCAATACACTGAAATTATTTGTACCTTTTACAAAAACGCATGAGACAATTTTATGCAGTTCTACAGTCACTGTTCAAGCAGAAATACAATTTTCATACGATAATTTTTTGTAACAACAACTCTAATGTAAAAAGCCTGTAGCCATTACAGCAGATCTCTCTCCCTCTAATTATTTATTGATTACACATTCCTGTAATGACCTTACATCCAAACTCATTAGGATGAGCCCTTAATACTTATGATGCAATCAAATGTAGTCACTCACTTGGTACAAAATTAAGCTTCGAGTAAGGACTTTGTGTCTTAACATTTGAATGAACCCATGCATACAGTATGAGTTTGGGCTTTTGATGGCACAGAGGAAGAAAAAGACAGCAGGGGGTCCACTGCAAGTTAGGCCTGGTATTTATGCTGCAACATTTAGTTGAAAGAAACGGGAACATGCTGTTGAATAAGCAGCAGAAGATAACTTGTTGTTTTCTTTTAAAGACAGCGGGCAGCCCTGTCTTTTTAGTATCAGCCCAATGATGACAGCATTTCAGGATAGCGTGTAGGGGTGATGGAGAGTCAAGGATTTGAGAAAGCATTATGAGCAAGAGACCTTTAGAGTTTAACATGGTCGTGCAAATTACTCTCTGAAGTAAATACTGAATGATAGTAGCTTAGTCTGTAGGACTGAGGTTTCACTATTGATTCACATAGCCAGTAACAAGACAGCCAATCTGTACTGCTCTTAAATCAATATTATTATACACCAGAAGAGCAGGATGAATTAGAAATAACAGAACAATTATCAACAGTAGAGATTTCAGGGATACATGCTTTAGCACTTTCCAGTTTCCAGTCACTTACACATATAAAATATATATCAGCTACATGCCACTCGTCAGTGTTTCAATCATGTTTGTCATTAATGCAACTGGCAGACGTCTATAGTTTTTCTTTAAATTAACTAACTAATACATAGGGTCTGTATGCTGTATGTTTGAATATACACACTCAGCGGCTAATAGATGACTGAAAATCAAAGCACAGCAGGCAAAAATTATTATTTTCTGTCAAAGGAATAATTTGACATTCTGAGCAATATGCTTATTTGCCTTAGCTTAGTGTGAGGCATAGAGACTGTTGGAAATAGCTAATCTGGCTCTGTCCTAATGTTATAAAATCGACCTACCATCACCTCTAAACATCACTAATTTACATGTTATATCTAATTTTTGATTGATGCATAGCTCAGGTGTACCAAATACACGCATTTGTCTATTTCTTGTCTCTGTGCAGTTATTTCCTGTAATCACCACTGGTTGCCAGGCAACCTCATTGTGGCTCTAGGACACATTTTTACACTTGTATGATAAACAACACATAACGTGTTAACCAGTGAGCTGTAGACATGCTGGTTGAGCCAAATTTTGTTTCTTTTGCGTAAAGCCAGGTTATCTGTTTCCCCCTGTCTCCAGTCCGCCAGTGCTAAGCTAAGCTAACTGGATGCTGGTGGTAGTTTAATATCTAAAGTATAGACATGAGAATGATATTAATCTTTTCATAATGTAGGATGTTGGTCTTGGGGGTTGTGACATTGTCCAGCATTGTGTATGTGTGTTTGTACAAATTATTACATGGAAGCTGTGTGTATGTATGGAACATGTGTTGTTGAGATGTTGATATTTTTCTTTTACTTTGCAGTATGTATGTTTTAGTTTTTGTGGAACTGCAGGATGGAGACCAAAACAAATTTCCCTACAGGGATATTTCAGTTATGTCCTATCCTATCCTATCTAACTCCAGAGAAAAGAAGAGAGAAAAGAGAATTTCCCAAAATGTTGAACTGGTCTTAAATGATAGTTTCTGTATAGGACTAATATGAAAAGACTTCTTATGCCAGAGCAGCTGCGCTACGGTACTCTTAACTGATGGTGATTAGCTCTTTTCAGCAGGCAATGATAGGCACAAGTGGCAAGATGTATTTTTAACATGTGACTTAGGAAATTACACTAGAACATGGTAAAAGCTATTTCAGGCTCTTTATATGTAAGAGTTCAGACCTCATGAGCAAGTTTTGACAATATCACCACTTACCAAAGAAGCAGTAGATAATTCCAAAGAGGCAGCACATGGAGCAGACCACCGAGGGCACAATCTCATATCTCCTCTCAATCTCCTGGTCACACCTCAGCCCCACCTCAGCCAAACCCAGCAGTTGGCTAGTGGAAGTCATGGTGACTGAAGTGAAGGGCAGCGACGTTTAGGAGGGCGGTAGTGAGGGGTGGAAGGGATGACTGAATCAGTGGGCCTCAGCCATTGAAACGTCTCTACCTGCAAACAGGAGGCATGGAAAGAAAGAGTGGTTGAGAGAGAGAGGGAGAGGGAGTGAGAATGAATGAGAGAAAGAAGACAGAGGAGAGAGTGATTATTGATTGCTCATTTTAAGTACACAGCTGTGAGTGCTGACAGAGCAGTAAACATGCATTATAATGTTGAAAAAAGAAACATCTCAGCACAGCACAGCCACTCTATAAGAACTACTGCTGCAGATGAAATGACTGCATAATTAAAAAAAAATGCAATTCAGCCACTATCATTCACTTATATATACAGTAAAGAGGAAGCAACAAATTGTTGCCAACAGTTCGAAAGTATTTGACCAGTTGCAGAGGATCTGCAGCACACACATAATGGTTGCCATGGAAAGATCAATGGAATTCATTTGCATAAATTTGCATGTTGTGAGAAATTGTAGCACAAGTACAAGACTGTTGGTGAGGTGTGTATTTGAGCAACGAAGTTAAAGCTTTTCAGAGGGATAAAAAAAACATTAAACATTTGCATCTCTACTTAGTCCTAACCTGCCACTGCCCTAATCACTCATTTGAAATAATACTTAAAAGTATAGCTAAAAGACCCCTATGTCATAACATGATAGAGTATTGACCATGTATAGTTTTTCACTATTGTTACAAAACTCATCAGGAATAGAATTACTAGAGTGTTACATGTATTGATTTTACATGCTGCAAATGCTGAATACAATGTATTTTCCGGGGCATTTAGTGCAACATATGCCGGATTTATGATGAACAAGGCAAAATAATCAGGTAAATTGCCATGTGATGAAGCAAAAACAAATAGTAACATGAGAAAGGCAGCAAGGCTTTTTGTTGGATTTAAGAGGATGTTTCAATATAGCAATTACAATGTAAAGGAGATACTACTGCTTAAGTGTGAAACCAAGATAAAAACACGAGCAACTGAAATGCCTTCTTTCGGCTTTTAGTATTACAGTAAGCGAGGAACAAAAACTCTTGAGACATACAGTAGATCTATGAGCACAATATGCAGGCCAAATCTTGCACAGGATGAACAAAAGAATACCTTTCTTCATTTCTGATGAGACACGAGGGGCTGCACCAGAAACACACACACACACAAAAAACATAATCTGGACTGTGGTGTTAATATTACATGAAAACAAATGATACATTGTATTAATTAACCTAATAACACACAACATTAACATACAATATTAAGGTAAAAGCTGGGTTATATTGCACCAGTGTGTTTATTGTATTTAATTAGACTCCACTGGTTACATTTATTTAGACTTTAATATTTAATTGTTGCCAAAGGGCAAATGGAGCTTTTACTATTACATTGTTTGTCAGTTATGAGCAATTACTGGTTTCACAATTATTTTTTTGTACCTAGCTTGTATATATTAAAACTTTTCATCTAATAAGATGTTTTGTAGAGATGTACTGTTACATAATGGAGCCCAGTATTGACAACTGTTTTTCCTAATTGATCTATATTGACTGAAAAGCTACAAGGAGATCAATTATGAGTTTCGTGTCCGCTTTTAAAACTGCTGCTTGGAGATTGCAATTCTTCCCTTTTTTCTTAGAGGATGAAAATGTGCCTGGGGCTTCCACTTGATCCTTTTTTGGTAGCATCAGTCCCATCAGCTAATAAAAGTGATCAAAGTTGTCTGTGTTTCACAAATTTTGGGTGACGATAGCTGTGGGCAAATTCTGTCAACCCTAACATAATAGCACAATACATAGACTTTACAGTTTTAGTAACAAAAAACGGGATTACAATTCTTAGTAAGTAAATTGTACAGGAAAAAAATGCTGCAGTGTAATGTGTAATGTGTGTGATTCAAGGATCATAGACTCACCCACACACAGCTCCACAGTCATTCAGGCACAAAATCCCAGTGGTTTAATTTCTAGTTGAGCCACACAAATTACCTTACTACCTTACTACAACCTACTAAGCGTATAAAGTCAGTGGATACCTTGAAATGGAAGCATCTTCTAAGTGACATACTGTACATGGCAGTATTTTACTCTGCATCACCAATTTTTCACGGAACAACTACATATTTTCATCACAGTTGCTCTCTGTCTTCATCATGGTATCACTTGCGAAGGTGAAGTCATGCACTTAAAGGTGAGAGTGTACACACATTTCCTTAAGCTATTCCCAGTTTTCACACAAATCGTTCCCTTTCTATATTACCATTAGCCGTGTGTGACTGTGTGTAATTTGTATGGACTTGTTCTCATCTTCTTTACTCCTTTCTGCAGCTACACTGTCTGCCTGGTAAAGCCCCAGACTCCGGAAGGAACATAAAATCTTGAAAGTGAGGGTTTATTGATGTAAAAGAATGCATTTCCTCTCCACTGCTGCATCTCTAGCTTGGACTGATATTGGAGACTCATACAATTACAATACAGTACATTGGCCTAAGTATATCAGCTTCTTCTACTGTAGTTGGATACACTCAAAACCTACTGCTCTTTGACAGCCTCAGTGGGTTACAGGTTGTGTCTTAAATCTTGTGTTCCGTTACTCTGGATCCATTGCCTTCTTCAGGCTTTCTCCTTCAGGTCATTGCACTTGTCATGTTACAGTACAGATGACAAACTCATGTAATATCTGTCGCCCAGTCTCTGTTTCCCATGTCCACAAATGTACGGTAACACTACTACTACTACTACTACTACTACACTATAACAATATACTGTACACACATACTCACCTGCCTGATTGTGCAGGGAAGGTAAGCCCTTACTACTCAAAACTGACTTAGTGTGTGCTGATGCGCTGTGGCACACAAACACACACACACAAAAGCAGCTGTGGTGTTTTTGTAGCAATACAATACCTCTGGAGTCCTGTACAGTCAAACACAAACTGGATATTTTTTTCAGCATTACATGTTGTTTTGCTTTAGAGAAAACAAAACCACACAGGAGTGGGATTCCAAAAGAAATAATGGAATATTGTCAAATTCAAGACAAGCTTTTGAAAAGAAATAAATAAGGCATTTTTGCTAAAACCTAAAGGTTTTACAGTTGCCCTTTCCTGTCTATCTACAGCTATCACTGTCCAATAAAGGCAATAAAGGCAATAAAGGGCCAGAAACACAAGTTAAAAAAAAGAATGCAGTGACCATCATATTGTGGCTAGCTGGAGTAGGAAGAACTCAGTTGCAAGCAGATTTCAATTTTACCTGTAGCTTTATTGGTTGCAACAAGCACACCATTGTCACTGACAATGAAAAAAACACACATCTTTGCACTCACACTGGGGGAGAACGTCAACAACTGTAAACACAACATCAGTCAAGGTGTACCAGCAATAACCGACCGTATAACAATAAAGGTGGAACGAGATGAGCCAAGTGAAATTAAAAAGTCTCTAGTATACTGAGATCTAATGGCAGAATTAACAACTGTAATTCAGCGAGCTATAATATGAATGGGTGGCAATAGCAAATCAACACAGCGTCTCATTTCATTTGCTCAGTGTTTCCACGTGTCATTAAGACATCGAAATGTCAGCTGCTTGTTTAATTGCTTTTTAAGCCCAAGCCACAGCACCATTCATCAGATCTGTTTCTATGTCAGTAACACCCACCTGAGTATGTGCCTCTGGGCCTCCCTGTCACTACTAATATGGAATTCAAAGCATTAACATAGATTAAGATGAACTGTAAGCTAGTATTAAACACATTAATGATACGGTGTAAACAATGATGCCTGTGGGAGAAGTTGGGAGTGCATGACTCAAGAGCTAAACTGAAGCTGATTAGCATTAATACAGAGTGTTTGAATGCAGCAGTCTTCAGTGGCAACCATGTTAGCTACATAGTTTGTACTATATGGCCATGTCAAGTAGAATAATAACTGTGAGAGTAATATGTGATACTATATCGAAGTTAAATCCTCAGACTGAAGTACAGAGTTGCACTCCTACTGCAGGAAATGTCAACAGAGTAGGTACTTATTGACAGGAGAAAGTCACTGAGCAATCACTTCGCATCACATCCTGCTGCTGCCCTGCAGACTTGTGATTCCATGGCAACCTATTTCATTATAAGTTGCTGCAGATAAGGTAATATGGTAAAACTTAAATTGCTAAAAACTTAATGGCTGAGGTGAGTCATGTTGAGGGAAAGTGTCTGCAAACAACTTTATAACACACCGATCAGCCATAATATTATGACCATTGACAGGTGAAGTGAATGACACTGATTATCTGGTTATCATGGCACCTGTCAGTGGGTGGGATATATTAGGCAGCAAGTGAACATTTCGTCCTCAAGTTGATGTGTTAGAAGCAGTAAAAAAAAATTGAAAAAATTGCAGATTGCAACCAACTAAACACCGCTGGTGTCTGTATTTGACGACCTGGGAATGAGAACAGACCTTGAAATGTGTCTAAGGTGGCCACGAACCTGTCTGTTTTGGGCAATTGTAGAAACATGGCTGGCTCAATGGAAGGTGACCATTGTGTGTCTGTAGATAAAAACGTCTCATTGTAAGGTAACGAAAACACACTGATTCCTATTTTTGGGGGATTATACACCGATGAAAACATACCTCTGAATATTATATTCTATTTCTGCCAAGAGATCCTCCTAAATGTAAACTTGATCTTTAAAATAGAAAATGTTTAGAAATGCTCAATCTGCATCTCGATCAATATAAAAAACATAAAGTAATAGACAGTCACAGGATACATGTGCCATTTTTTCCCCCTCTGTCATCAATCTTGTCAATCCTGGATATGCCTTTGCATTCAGATCTACAACTTGCAAAAAACTGCATCAATTTGCAGTACAGAATTTTGTCAAAAACATGAAAACCAATTGTAGTAATTCCAAGTCATAAATGCCTGTCTTGGAATGACAGACTCCAATGGTGAAACAGATTGTGAAGACCGAAGCTTAGTTACACCACAGGCACCTGACTCAGGAGAATAAACCAACTGAGAATACATGACAAGGGGAGCT